TCACTGTGTGCTGCCAGGTGCGGCAGCCACGTGCCATTAGCTCCATGCCCTAGCCACAGAGCAAGTTCAAGGACTTTCTCTGTAGCTATTAATTTATATTCCAGGGAAAAGCTGCTTTCCCTGAATAAGGTATAATATACAATACAATACTAGCTGAACCTGAAACTGTGAGTTGACCTGTAACCAGAATAACAGGGGATACTGTCCATTGCTCTGTCCTGGTTCTTCAAAATTCCTTCATATATTACACCCATTTCTGTTAGTTTTCTTTTCTAAAATGAACAAGTAACTCATTTTTCAAAATCCTTTTAGCATTTGTTAATCCTCTTTGAACTGTCTCTTCAATTACTCTATTTTGTTTAAAATGCAGTGCCCAAACATTCCTACTGAGACCCCTATTAACTAAAGCAAAACACCACCATTGATCTTCACGTGATACTTCTGCCCAATGAAGTTAATAAAGAATTTATCTGTTTATGACAGTGAATCACATAAGTTTGGTTTGGCAAATTGCTACAAAGAGAACATTTCGCTACCAAAACAGCAACTGTGGCTCAAGACAATGTGAGCAATGTGGATCTCACTGTAGGTGAGCCTGCAACTCACACATGCAAAACCGAAGCTGTTCGAAGAGCTGCATACATCAGGACTGCACACAAGCCCAGTACCTTCCCCCATGGTAGGCTAAGGAACTATTCTCTCCATACACATGTCAGCGTGGATTCTGTTCTCAACTGGCAAGGAGCATCCTAGCCAGACAGGAACAAAATGAGAAGTTTCTACTATAACATCAAACTGCTCTAGCTATTAAGGCAGACAAGGTTCTTTGCGTGAATCTGATAACAGCTAGTGTTAATAAAAGATAAGTCAATTTGACAAGGAGCAGTGACTCCTATATCATTCTGGACATCTGGGACAAGTGTCAAAGAAGAACCAGGCAACCAACACCCACAAAAGAAGAGCCAGATTATGTAACCCTCCCCTTTCACACATTCTTGCAATTTAAGCAAAACTCAGCTCTCTTACAACTTGGAAAAGGAGTGCAGCCCTCCTCTATGTTGTGTTCGGATGGGAATTATAGAGGCCTCAGGCAAAGTCACTTGAGCTAGTAATTCAAAGACAGTATGCATCAATATAGTAGGACATGACTTTGGGTCATTTATTATGAACTGGAGAAACTAGAAACCATCCTGTGGAAGTTGCTATTTGCAGACTGAGTCTACTAACACTTTTACAAAGTCTAATTTTTTATAGTGAGAAAAACTATTTTGCATTTCCCAAGAAGTCCTAGCTAAGTTAACAATGACAGGCTGTTCTCAAGGTCTGCCGGAGTCCCCTGTTTGACTCGACTCTGATCTGTCAGTTGTCTGGGCCTGAGGTTGTCAAACTTGTTGGGCCCCCATGGGTCAGATTCAGATCATGGGGATTCCCATAGCCCAGATACAGACCACAGGCAGCAACTGCAGTGTTAAACTGCTGCAGCCACTGGACCTGCTTTTTTTGTTTGACTTTGGAACCTAGGGAGGTAATGCTGCTACCATTTGCCCCCTTTCCCCCTGCCACTGATTTCAGTCACCAGGGCTGATTTTGGTGGCACATAAAATGGGCAGCAGAGAGAGGCAAGCAATATTAATGCCCTTGTTTCCAAGGCTGCAGGGCTTAGCATTCACACTGCAGGGGCCCATAAGCCCCACAGACCATGGGCTGGATCCAGCCACTAGGCTAGGTATCTGATGCCTTTAGGGTAGGTAGGTATAGGGAGGAATGAAGTGTCTCCGAAATGTGCTAGCTATCTATGCATTTCATGAGAACTACTATTGTGAGGAGTTCAAGTAGGAGTACCTTAATTTTGGCAATAGTTGAGTCCCACTGTGAATCCCGAGCGCTCCCTGTGGACTAGACAGATGAGTAACAAAACAGAAAACATACATTTGGTAAGCAGAAGGCCCAAAACAAGCTTTGCGCTTGGAAAAAAAAGGAATGACAGAGACAAACACTTTCTCTAGTAGCCTCATGTCTAAAATAGGATTAAAAACCCTTTCTTCAGAGTTGCCAAGAGTGAAACCATCTTCTGCTTTAATAGGTTTTAGTAAGAAGACTAAAGAGAGAGGGGTAATTAGGGGTTAAGGAATGAAAATGCATTAGGAGAGCCAGAGACAATGGCCTCCAGCAGCTCTCTGTCTTGTACCCAATGGAATAAGACAAGACAGAATCCCAAGGTATGTACTTTGAACTGGCTTGACTGGCTCCGAAATGTTGTTACAATTTGTTAACAAGGTGCTGGCAGAGGATGCACCATGTAAGAGGAAGACGCATTGTTTGCTGCATCTAGTCTTCTTCTTTGGGAAAATAACGTGGTTGTCCTAGACACGTTATGGCTCCTTTTTACCCAAACCCCTTATTGCAACCTCTGTATAAAGACTCCCAGTGAAAACCAGGTAGCTTTCGAAATCTTCAGGTTACTTAGAAGATTGTCTTGTCCGTTTTGCAGATTAAAGCCATCACGGTTTTGCAGATTAAAGCTATCATGGTTAACAGTTCATGACACATCAAAGCCATGAAGCCTTCCATATCACCTTCCCTACCAGGTTGTCTGTAGCAGCCTTGACACCCTATGCATCTACCCATGGCTGTTTACAGGGCCATCCTATCATTAACTGGCCCTCCTTAACTTCTGAATTCATTCTTGTTTAAACAGCTTGGGAAACAGTGATATCACTGTCAAGTTAAAAAGAAATAGTACTTAGCCGGCAAGGCTTAGCAGTTTACCATTCATAGCTGGAGAGAAGTGAAAGAGCAGCCTTTTCTCTCAGAGACCCTCACTGGGTCCTCTTTTGGAATGCTTTAGGTAGACTTGAACTTTTCCTGTACTGCTGATCTTGGACTGGAATGGATTTAAAGATATACATAATCTTTTTAAAGGGTTTGATGACAGTTTTATTTTCTTTTTGCTTTAGCTGGAATAATGGCAGACATTTATTACAGTGCTTTGGCCTAGGGTTGAACAACCCCACATTTATCTAAAATGATCCTTTCTATGTCCAATTTCAGTGTACAGAACAACAGATTTTCCTTGAAAAATTGGTGTCTGCAGTTTGTGCTATTCTCAGAAGCAGTTCTTGCAATTTCTTAACATTATCTGGTGGTAGGTGTTATTGTATTATCCACTAACAAGGACAACCCCACCGCACCTGCTGGCATTCTGTCTGGCCTGACCAGAGATATCATCAGGGAGTGTAAACTCCTATTTAAAGAGACACAGGGATCTATTCCTCAAAGAAAGCAGAGCAGCACTCACTGAGTCAGAAAGGATGAAGCGTCCTTCCACAAAAATACAGCAGGCAAAGCAAAGCAAGCCTCAATTCTATTGCTATGAAACTAGATTTATCCAGCTGAACTCAGGGAAGAGAGGAAACAAAGAACATGTCTCGTAAGAAAGTACAAAAAACAAATTCCTCTAAACCTGATGTCAGAGCATATGGGGCTATGTACTGGGATATACCAGTGGTTATCTCAGTATCAGGGTCATTTCTTGAGATGCCCTGTAGCACCACAATGCACCCCACAAGATCTGGCAACACCACCACCAATACCAGAAGCAGTGGCTTGTGCAGAATATTAGTAACAGACCATATAGAAAGGTTGGACTGGAGACACAATGACAAAGTAGTAGTACCAGGGTAGTTTCCAGTATGGGGCTGGAATCCTTGAGGTGTGTGATAGTAACTGTTGCAGCCACTACTTAAAGTTGCATGGTTGGTGCCATGATGATAAATAGCTCCTTGTCATTACCCTTGCATGTAGACGTGGAGCTTCTGATTTCATCCCACCTCCCCAAAGTACTTTTTACAGTTTTCTTCTATAGGAAGGAATTGAACTCAAGCTAGAATTTCCTCCGATGCTTGAGAACTCCACCAGGTACAACATACCACTGGGACAAAGAGAATTTCATTAACTGCTCTATAAGCAAGGTTTTGGTTTGGCATCCCAACTATCTCATGAGTCATGACTCTTGCCTAAGCAGAAAGGACACCTGCTATGGTTGAAAACCCTGTCACAGTATACAAGGGGGTTAAGATGCTTGAAGGTTTAAAGGCTGCCATGTGGTGGAAATGACTGAACTGTCCTGAACAAGGAGGTCAGATCATAAAGAATTATTACAGACAGGTAGAGCTAAACTGTTGTACAACTAATAGACAAGTTCTGTGGAGGCTTGGCTGGAACTAACAACTAGTGATTTAGACACTAGCAGGCTAGGAGACTTAGTGTCATGGCTTCCACAATCCTTATGTAAAAGGGAAGTTGAGAACCCATGTTCATTCCTGCAGTAGGCCCTGCTATTCAAAGAGACTTCAACCTCATTCATGAGACTCGCGCACAATTAAATGAAGCATCCACACCAATGCACACCCTAAAAATCTCTTACTACTACTTAACTAGGATTTCACTATTAAAATGGCATATCATGCTATACCTTTCTACATGAACCTTTTGCCCTTATTATGACACATGCAGCTACAGAGAAATAAGATGCACAGGGTATCCAATTTACCAACAAGTTACATTACTAATTTAAGGCTGGGCTGTCCAACTGGCAGCCCTTAGGCTGCATACAGTTCATGAAGGATTCATGTGTAGCCCCCAGGCTCCTACCTGACTGCCACTCCCTTTATTGTTCTGCCTGTTTCTGCAGCTGGGATCTCTGGGCTCCCCCTCCATCAGCTTTTGCTTTCTGCTTCCACCCCAGAAGGTGGGGCAGTGAACCTCATAGTGCTGGCAGTCTGTGGCACAGTGAGGGAGCAGAGACAGGCACTGCCCATGCACAGGATTTAATCGTGCACATGTGCTTAGGGGTGAAGGGAAGGGGTGTGCAATGCAGTTGGGTGAGGTACAGTCAAGGGCTCATGCTACTGCAGCCCTGAGATGTGTGGCACTGAGCTGCTTATAAGACGGACAGCTCTGACTCAAGGCATCTAAATCAGAGTGCAAGGATACCTTACCTCACCAAAAGCACCTCTTCCAATTACTTTTATAATTTCGAAGTCATCCCGATGAAGTTGCATTTCCTTCACCAGCTGTGTAAATGGTCTTGCTGTTTAAAAAAAAAAAAGAAAAATGAAATTACACATGGAAACTTTACAAATGATATCATCCAAAGATTTTTGACTTACAAGGTATTTTATCAATAAGTGTTCAAAACAAATGCAAGTAAACTAAACAGTTAGAAAATTAAGATTTGTGCCACTTACATTAGAGAATTAATAAGCTTGTTTTATTTCAAAACAATGGAATTTCAGTTCTCTAAAAAATAACTGTTCTACTGTATTCTTTACTGCTCATCAGTTATCCTGACAAGTATCAAGAATAAACCCAAGGAAATACCAAAAAAATTGTAAACTTGCCTAGGACTGTGGAACAACTATCCTCTTCTCTACTCCTGTTGTAAAGATTCTTAGCTTTCTACCTAAGCTTTAAATATATATTTTCCCTTATATCCACTTTAAAACAAGATACTTTCCTTGGTATAAATTTCTATTACACAGTAATGACCAAACATTTGTCCTTTATGCAAGGACAAGGTAAAAGCACCACATATCTATCTCCATTACTTTTAACTGACCTTGGGCTCAAATTTTTGTGATAAACAAGTGGAAACCATGGTATGAAGTAATGAGCTAACACAACACATGCCTCCTTTAGGAAAGGGTGACTGCCACCAATAACAGACATCAGATGTTGAGAACACAGTTCTCAACAATTGAAGATGGTACAATAGAGTAGTAGGTTTAACCAAAACCCTCAAAGCAAAAAGTAACCTAATGGCTAATACAGTGAGAAGAGAAAAATACTCCACTGCAGAACTGCCACACTCTCTTTGTTCTTGGCACACCTTGGTCTAGAAACTATTAGAGGTGAGTTATTTATGGCAACGATACCCTCTTCATTTTGATGGTACTACCTAACCCCCACCTTATAACTGTAGGAACCAAGAGTCAGAAGCCTCATTTGTACTGGTATGCTTCTACAGAGACAAATGCCGAACACAACAGGACCTCAATATCAGTTTAGGCTGGTATGCACTACTGTAATACAGTAAGGAGGGACGGTTCCTCTGCCATTTGCAAATTAGAAAACTCCACTGCAGTAAGTAGAGCTACACTAATTCTCACTAGCTGATGATCAGGACCCATAAAATAGTCGAATTTACAACAAAAGAAGTGCAAGAAGCCAGAGAAGTAATGTATGAAGGTTCCTCCGCAAAGTTCTTCCTATTTTTCTCTATGGATGGAAGAAAACCACCACTGATTTGAAGAACACATATTGATGTGTTGGTGTTGGTTTATGGTCTAGGACCAGTATTCAGACCTTTGTGGTCCAATAGTTTTATTTTACCTCTTCCTGACAACAGTACAAAATTTAAGAACCAAAGAGGATTGCCTTAAATCAGCAATTGTATTTTGTTTTGTATTTATATTCTTTTAGTTCTTTCCCAAATAAAAGTAAATTCCAATTGGTTAATAAAACTTGGTAATTTTTGTTAAGTACTCACTGGGTGTATTTACACGTTCATTAATGTGCCTTAGATACTGTGCATTTAGTTTGGTACTTCCTTATTAAAGTGCTAGCTAAACGCGCAGTAACTCTAGGTACTGTGCTCAGTAGCACTGGTGAACAGTTATTTAGTGATGCTTACTGGGCATTAGCCTAAGAATACCGTACAGTAGGCTATTAGCATGGTTTCTGTTGCGACACGCTACGGCACAATGTTATTAGGCTAGTGCACGGTAAGCATCTCGTGTAAATGCGCGCACATAGCTTAACATTTATTTTTAGATTTTTATATTTAGATTAAAAAGTGGTGAGCAATGCATTTCTGAGCACATATTAGCCAATCACCTCCCTGTAATTGCAATGCTAAATTATTTTATTCACAATTGATAAATCAAGCTGTATTTGAATGGCAACACAGGTCTTCTTTTTAAAAAGGGAATGTGTTTAGCTAATAACAATCTTAGATATGCTAGATAAATTTAAGAGTTTAGCAAAACATGTTTACTCCATTCTGAGTGCAAAACAAAGGTGGCATTATCTGGGGTAGGTTAACTAAACTGACTGCATTCAGTCAACACATCCTTTAAGACTTGGAAACCTGCTAGAAACCTATATTCTCACTCGTCATTTTAATTTATAGATTGCAAGAGGAAAAACAAGCTTGCCTACTTTTCCAGCCGTCAGCTAATTACTGAACTGGGAACACAGGGCTAGAAGGGGCCTCATGGGCCACTGAGTCATCCCCTGCATTTGCAGGCAAACATTTACTGAAAGAATATCCAAAAATCACCACTTGAGACCCCCACAACATGTAATGAGAAGGCAAGATGACCGAACAATCAAGAAAACCATATAATGAGCCATCAAATAATTAAGACAGGAGGACAAGGTCACTGCCAATGCCCTGGCACTGCAATGACAGCCAAGGGAGTGGGTAATATAATCTTCAAAGATCACACTAAAAAGAGCATACCCCATACAACATAGGAACACACAGGAATAATTAACACAATTGTATGCTGCTGCAGCAGAGGCCACAATTATCAAAAGCTACTTTATCACTTCAAACAAGTTCTGGCTCCAGATGCTTAGCTTGGGACTTTTACTACTTTAGTGGCTGGGTACCAGGCCTTTAAAGAAAGTCAAACATGCACTGGTGGGCTTTTAATTTAGTTAAATTATTTGTAATAGCTTAGGACCCTAACTTGGTTAAATTAAATATTAAATTATGAAAACATGCTTTTAAAACTATTTCAGTGGAAAAAAAATAAGGTAAATAAATGAACTCTCCTGTAAAAAATGCACCATTACAGAGGCCAAAAAAGAAGCTGAACCAAGTGATAATCACACAGTGAACTACTAAACACAGGAGACATTATAAAGCCAAGAATATGCTTGAATACTTTTTTTTTAATTTCAAAACAAAGCAAAAATTATTTATATCAGAACATAGCTCTGCTTTTAAATGTCAGGTTATACAGCAGTAGTTTCATTATAATGTTTCATTGAAACAATCCTCAATTTTCTTGTTTTGGTTTTACATTCAGAAACGCTTGCAATGTTTAATCCCAGCATCAAGCCCTCTGGATATGGGTTAGTAGGGTGCACACGCCTATCAAGATTAGTTAGATGAGCAGAAACTTGTCCTGGTATGTATACAGTGAGGCTGCCTCTACTATGCTCCTCTGAATGATGGACCGCAACATAACCATTAGGGAAGTATTACTACAAAGCTCTAAGCATTTGAGAGTGACAAATGAAAAAAATACTGCTAAGGGAAGGCAACTGTCATCATTAGGTTAGACATCAGGAGGCGCTATTTCACGGTCAGGGCGGCTAGGGTCTGGAACCAACTTCCAAGGAGGGTGGTGCAGGCTCCTACCCTGGGGGTTTTTAAGAAGAGGTTAGATGAACACCTTGCTGGGGTCGTTTGACCCCAGTACTCTTTCCTGCCATGGCAGGGGGTCGGACTAGATGATCTGCTCAGGTCCCTTCCAACCCTAGAAACTATGAAACTATTGTTGTTTTATAAATTGGGAAAAAGAATACTGTTCTCCCTACACATCTGGTATGAATAACAGTTGTGCTACACACATCAATATTGATTAGTAGATTAGCAATGGGTTTATAATTCACAATTAAGGTAAAATTTTATGAAGCATTTCATCTGGGTAAATTATGAACTAGGTGGTTGTTGTTTCCTTTGTAAAATTTAAAAAAATTAAGGCTATCTATGTTGTTTTCAGAACAGAATTATTTATAGGTAACATGACAGTATTGTAGGCTCTGCAAAGCAGGGTGTGGGGACAGAGGCCCATATCTTGGAATCAGTAGTCTGTGTACTACAGATTTTTTCAGATATCTATTTCTTTCCTTATTCTCACTTGCACTGTTTCCCAAAGGTGAATCTATGCTTTCTCTGACATATAGCAACAGTTTTCTTTTATGCCTCCTCTCTCAAAGCCTTATAGGCCTTAAAAAACAAAGGAATTTATGGACTCAAAATGTAAGTATATTAAACACTGGTACCATATATTTATTTCTATGGTGATAAAGAGAACGCTAAATTCTAGATGAAGCCTGCTTTCAAGTTCAAGCATTACCTTCACACACACTTTTATGCACTTCCCTCCCATACCTGGGAACTCCAACATATAATCTTTTCTTTTTCTGTTAAATCTTTAGCTGTTTGCCCAGAAGAAAACAGCTTGAATAAATTAAATGCAGTCATGATCATAAGGGTGTTGGATAAGTTACTCAGAGAACAGGTCTACTGCAACACAGTACACAGACCTCTTAATTAGCCAGCTTTGGTATGGGCAGTGGTTTAGCCATGACAACACAAAGCTCAGCATAGGCTACACAACATACACAGGCAGTGAGGTAGATAGATGAATAGCCCATCCTCAGCTCTGCTCTGACCTGGCTAGATGAGTAGCAGTATGTCAGCTAACTAGTTTAGGTACATCCATGCTGCAATGCATTCCTGAGCAGGCTGCCAGAACTTAGTCACTATCTAGACGAGGAAAGTCACAGATATTAGCAGCTGCCTAACGTATAAAGTCATGATAGGCTACGGGCATGTGATTATGCTCCTACGAGCAGACCAAAATCTGGCCTTTTTGAGAGTTTAAGATAGCTGGCACATGTACATCAGAAAATGCCCAGGAAGCCAAATGCACTCTTCAGAGTGCTGTCAGCCACGATAGTGAACAGCAGTTGCCAACCCTGATGGCACAATTAGTTTATTTAATGGTGTGCTCTGTAGAGCAGTGCTGTACTCATCCGAGATAGAGTTGACCAGCTTTCTGCAAGGCTGAGCTGCACAGCTTGAACCACCAAAGGCAAGATTTCCACCGTCCATATCCTGCTGCCAGGGTCTTCCAACCCAGACACTCATGCACAGAAGGCTGGTACAGAACAGCTTCAACATGTGCAGCTGCAGACAACCCCAAAAATCAAGATTCACAAACAGAAGAGACTGGAGCAGTAGAAATATCCACCATATTCCTTGCCACACAGAGATAGCAGCTTGCTTTC